GACGAGATCTCGAACTATACCGTTTGACGTGGAAGAAGTAAAACGTGAATTGTATCCGACAAAGAAGTATGCAAGACATTCCTTCCGTGCAAAATGCCGAACAGTGCTGACAATAATCATGAAAGCACGTATATTTATTGGTTCCAATACCACCTGTGACGCCCCTCTCAGCAACTTGAATTGTTGCATTTTAACTTCTTGTTGTGTTCAGACTAAACTGGACCGCTAAACTAATTATTCTGACACATAAATTGCAAGCACAACAAAGCCGCTTTCTCTCACTAATAAATATTGGAAAATACATTTCTAAGCGAGCAAAGCGTTTGGTTATCATGTTGTTGGGTGTGTATCTGACAATCTGGTTACCATGACAACACTGGGGGGCAGATTACTAATGTGTCTGAATTTAGATAACGCGTGTTAAATAAATAACAGTTACGCTAATGATGACAACCAACGCGGTTGCGATATTAAGTGTGACACGAAGCGCCTAAATTCGACAGTGCAGTTTTTTCACCAAGATTAGACTGACTCTAGTCCGCTGTAGGAATTAAATATAATACGTATTGTATATCCTGAGCTGAATTATTCATGTGCTAAATTGAAACCCAGTAAATATGCAAAGTTTACCATAGAATGTATTGTTTCTTTTACAAACCAGTTAAAGCGGGGGGGGGGGGGTCGTCGCCTGCGCACGCGCGGGAATTGAGCGGAAAGCGATGATAACAACACACGCTAAAAACGCAAAGGCTCATGGCTCATGGACGCTTGTTTGTAAACAATGACAAGCTATGGCCAACTGACGCATGCGCAGGTGACAACATCTCCACTGTAACATTTTTGCAACATGAAATCCGCTGAACTAAAACTGAACCCCCCCCTTCAGCAGTACTTGTATTTCAACCAAACAAACATGTTGTCGAAATTACGCTCGTAAAGTGTATATTAGTGTTACATCTGTTGTCGACAAGACCTAAGTATACGTTCCCTGAAGCGTCTTTATAAATGCTACTCATTTGTCGGGGTGTAGGTGAAAGGTCAACCGTAGCAAGACTCCTTCGGTGACATTTAGTTATCCGTAACAGTGCGCATGCGTTGTGGCTTAACGTATTACTAGTATATTCGTTTAACTTTAGTGGGAAAGAAATGTTTTGAATTGATACTGAGTTTTTGAAGTTTTTGAGAATTTGTTTTCAGAGAAAATTCTTCATATTTTAGCCCGTTTTTTGAGTGTTTATTTCACCTCCATATGCACGCGTCTGGACAATATGTCTACTCCATTCTTTTCAAGGCTGCTTATCCTAATTTTACCCTGACTATGCCTCGATGCACACAACAATTAACGAACTGTTGATAGGTATTTATATGAATTATAGAGACAGGAATAAATAAAATATAACATGCTGTTAATAATACTGATCTTACCCAAATGTCAGTTCTGAAATCAAGACAGATATCTGCTCATTGGAATTCAACAAAACCATCACAGATTTTTCTGTTTCGGAAGTCTAACGCTGCAACACACATGCTGCTATTTGATTGTTGGTTTTCAGATTCTTTTCATCATGTTTTAGGTCATATTTCTCATTCACAAATATAATCCCGTACATGCCACAATGTGTATTAATATACTTGGATGACCTGACGATAAACATGATGTACAAATATAAACAATAAATTGAAATTAAAGCGGGGGTGTCGTCACCTGCGCATGC